AAAAATGTCTTTTACTCCTTTATTAATTATATTTTTTAAAATTTTTCATGGTATTAATAAAATACTTGGTAAATAAACATATAGCATTATTTGTATTATAACTTTGATATTTAATTAAAAAATAGTGCAAAAAAAAAAAGATAATAGATAATGTGGTGAATATAATCAATTGATAAATTTGAATGTAAAGAATTTTTACATTGGAGAAAAATAAAGACAATATAACTAATAAAATTATTTCTCTTAATTAATTTATTGATAATGAATATTTTTTCAATAAAGACATTGTAGGGACAATGTAGCGAATATAATCAATTGATGAATTTGAATGTAAAGAATTTTTATATTGGAAAAAAATAAAGACAATATAACTAATGAAATTATTTCTTTTATTTAATTTATTGATAATGAATAATTTTTTTTTTTTTGGAATAAAGACATTGTAGACACATAATTCTAAATTAAAGAAATTCATAAGTATTATTTTTTTCTTGTAGCTACTAAATTATCATTTAATTTAATAAGAGTAAAATATAGTACTCATTATGCCAACTTTAATTGGGATGGGTTCGAACCTAAGACCTTTCTTATTGAAATTGAAATCAATGAATAAGTTAACGGCGAACTAACAGAAACTAACGGAAAAGATAATATTTAACGGAAAAGTTAACGGATAATCATATTCATTAAGGATAAATTGGGAAATCTTAACGAAAAATTAAAATATGATCAATCTGAGTCATTCATTTGATTAAAAAATTTGTATAGTAGATATATATATATATATATATATATATATATATATATATATATATATAAATTAAAATATGATCAATCTGAGCCATTCATTTGATTAAAAAATTTGTATAGTAGATATATATATATATATATATATATATATATATATATATATATATATATATATATATATATATATATATATATATATATATATTCGCGTTCAGGTGCGAATAGGTGCCCAGAAGAGAAATGTGAACCAATCAGCGTGTGTCAGCATTCATTGATCGAGTGCACGTACTTTCACCTACAAGTGCACCTACTTTCGCCTGCAAGTGCATGTAGTTTTTGCCTGCATTCATTGATCGGGTGCACATACTTTCACCCACAAGTGCACCTACTTTCGCTTGCAAGTACATGTAATTTTGCCTGGTTAACATTCATTGATCTGAGTTCGTTCTGTTTGGCATCGTTTTTGTTCTTGCGGGTAGTACTACCCGTGAAAACCACCCGCAAACATTCATGCACCTAGGTGCAACTACTTATAATTATTGGTGCAACTACAGATAACTATTGGTGCACTTAGTATTAATGCTCAGTGCAAATTTTACTTGCACTTATAATAGATTTTACATGCACTTGTAATACATTTTACTTGCACTTCGATGTTCAATTATTTACGAAAATTCCACCGCGTTTTTTTTTTTAAAAAAATCAGTGTTTCTCATCCATTAGATCTGGACACATGGACAGCTATCAGGCATTCGCATATTCGCACCAGAGTGCAATTATATATATATATATATATATATATATATATATATATATATATATATATATATATATATATATATATATATATATATATATATATATATATATATATATATATATATATATATAGGGTTGTAAAAATCGATCTAGGCGCCCGCCGAGGCGCTAGGCACCTCTAGACCGTGGCGATTTCTCCCCTAGGCACTTGCCTAGGTTACCGGCCGCATAGGCGTCCGCATAGCGCCTAACTCGGCCGATTTGGCCGCCTAGCGTCTAAGTTAGTCGAGTTAACTCGTCCATTTCGGTCGAGTTAACCCGATCGGCTCGGCCTATTTTTTTATTATATATATATATGTGTGTGCGCGCGCATACATATATATAATATGACATATATACACTCGTAGACTAGTTTGATACTTTGAATCTTTGTATGATTGAAGTATTTGAGTATTTTATATTTGAGTATTTTTAATTTTTAATATTGTTTTAATGTTTTTTTTTTTGAAAACCATGTTATGACTTATGAATTATCATTAATTCATTTATTTGAATGTGTTATTTGATTAAATGTTGAAAACAACCTCATTAAAATTGTCAAACTGCAAGTCTACCACTGTTTTTTTGGCGCCCGCCTAGCGCCGCCTAGATTCCGCCTAGGCGCTAGGCGCTGTCCGGGCGCCCAACTAGCGCTTAGCGCCTACTGCAACCATGTATATATATATATATATGTATATATATATATATATATATATATATATATATATATATATATATATATATATATATATGTGTGTGTGTGTGTATATATATATATATATATATATATATATATATATATATATATATATATATATATATATATATATATATGTGTGTGTGTGTGTGTGTGTATATATATATATATATATATATATATATATATATATATATATATATATATATACACACACACACACACACACATATATATATATATATATATATATATATATATATATATATATACACACACACACATATATATATATATATATATATATATATATATATATATATATAGTGAAAGGTTTCTGTGCATTTGTTGCTTCCCGTGCGGATGTGCGGTGGATTAATGTGCGTGAGATTTGTACACAATGTGCGTGAGTGTTGTGCTTAATGTGCCTGCGATTTGTACTTAATGTGCGTGAATGTGTTAAATGCAGCAGAAAATATAGATGTCAGCTTCTTCCCCTTCCCAGTAGCCATTTGCCCCCTCCCTGATGATGATGATGCGGAGGCGGGCTATGGTAGTTAAGAATTATGGGAATAATACAACAGAAATCCACACTTAGCTACTGTGCAAATTTTACTGTACGTGCGTCATTTATATAAACATTCAACTGCACTGAAGGTAGCTGATAATCCAGAATCCAGGGACAAATTGAAGGAAGAAGTAACAAGAAGGTTGGGCGTTAATTAATGTGCGTGAGTTTCTGTTCTACTTCTTTCTGAGCTCGTAATTCTGAAATACTCACGCACATTAAGCACAAATCTCACGCACATTAAACACAATACTCAAGCACATTAAGTACAAAACTCACGCATATTAACATGACGCACATTGAGTACAAATCTCAGGCACATTGAGTACAAATCTCACGCACATTAAGTATAAACCTCACGCACATTAATCCACCGCACATCCGCAGGGGAAGCAACAAATGCACCTAATCCCTTCCCTATATATATATATATATATATATATATATATATATATATATATATATATATATATATATATATATATATATATATATATATATATATATATATATATATATATATATATATATATATATATATATATATATATATAGTGAAAGGTTCTTGTGCATTTGTTGCTTCCCGTGCGGATGTGCGGTGGATTAATGTGCGTGAGATTTGTACACAATGTGCGTGAGTGTTGTGCTTAATGTGCCTGCGATTTGTACTTAATGTGTGTGAATGTGTTAAATGCAGCAGAAAATATAGATGTCAGCTTCTTCCCCTTCCTAGTAGCCATTTGCCCCCTCCCTGATGATGATGATGCGGAGGCGGGCTATGGTAGTTAAGAATTATGGGAATAATACAACAGAAATCCACACTTAGCTACTGTGCAAATTTTACTGTGCGTGCGTCATTTATATAAACATTCAACTGCACTGAATGTAGCTGATAATCCAGAATCCAGGGACAAATTGAAGGAAGAAGTAACAAGAAGGTTGGGCGTTAATTAATGTGCGTGAGTTTCTGTTCTACTTCTTTCTGAGCTCGTAATTCTGAAATACTCACGCACATTAAGCACAAATCTCACGCACATTAAACACAATACTCAGGCACATTAAGTACAAAACTCACGCATATTAACATGACGCACATTGAGTACAAATCTCAGGCATATTGAGTACAAATCTCACGCACATTAAGTATAAACCTCACGCACATTAATCCACCGCACATCCGCAGGGGAAGCAACAAATGCACCTAATCCCTTTCCTATATATATATATATATATATATATATATATATATATATATATATATATATATATATATATATATATATATATATATATATATAATTTATAAATTTAATAATAAAATGTACTTAAGTTTTAATTTATTGAGGATAAAAACTTAATGCATTAATTCTTGAGCAAGACAGCTTACAAGGAAAATAGGGATGTATCAAACCATTCCCCGCAACTCAGAAAAGGCCTCCCTAGTAATAGTATGGGCGGCACAATTCACAGATCGCTCATAATTTAAGTTTTAATTTATTTAAAGTTGTTTTTATTTTTCAAAAAATTTTCATGTAATGTCCAGCAAAACTATAAGTTAGAGTTAAGCGATGTGTAGCCAAATTATTTTGTATATGGTAAGAATGCATTACTAATTAGAGTTAAACTATCTCTCCGTTGTAAGTATAATGAAGTTTAGCAAAATCTTACAAATTAAAGGCCTCACTATTCCTAAGCAAAGTAGAATCCTTTCAATAGTTAATCAATAAAATTTCTTTCATATATTTAGATTGTGTCAATCATTTTCTTTTTTTTTTTTTTTCCTATTTCTTTGTTTAATTGTGAGTTGTCTAAGCAGTCTCCTAGTCAGTTCACGTCATTGATTCTGTACACAAGAGAATCCATCTCCACATTTCGGCCAATTCGATCAACTTAAAGAACTTGATTTTCAATCTAAAGAGTCCAATCAATAAAATCCCACCCTAGCTACCACTAAAATGATGACTTTAAAACATGTGGTCCACTACGATTTTTTTTATCAATCAATAAAATGTCATGTGAATCATAAAAGAAAAAGTAAAAAGTAAATATTACACCTCCAACTATAAACTTCCTCCCACTATAAAATCCCTATATATCATCACCCAAAACTTGCATTCCACCACCACTACTACACACACAAACACACAACAAAGAAAACTCGAATCTCCGTCCGGCCACTCGAAGACGATGACGATGAGAAAGGGGTCTACGACGACACTAGTTGGTGTGTGCATAATGGTGACGGCCATGCTCATCTGCAAACTGGAGCTGAGCATGGCTCAGCAGGAGGAGTGCACCGTGGCTAATCTGATCCTCCCATGCTTGTTGACGATCCTGCCGGGGACGGCGTCGCCTGAATGTTGCCGTAACCTGAAGCAGCAGAGCCCCCAGTGCCTTTGCAGTATCCTTAAAAATCCCTTGTATCAACTGTTTGCTCCTAATGCTAGAAAAACTATTACGGATTGTGGTGTGCCTGATCCTCCCTGTTAAAATATATATGCCTCAGATCAGCTCTATCATATCCTATCCACCATTATAATATTCTATTTCAGTTACGTTATTCAATAAATAAAGGCATATAGCCTACCCATCTTGCGGTCACTGCATAAGTATTACTTGGTGTTATTACTAGCTATGTATATCATCATAATTATGGCAACTTTGAATTTTCCACTTTCATTCTCAATAAACTGGTTACTCCATCTTTATTGGGAAATCGATCAATGGAAAACAAATTATCCAAAATTTTACTCGTGGATTTTTTCATTCCATTAGAGACACCCAAACTACTAATCGTCCCCATTCAAGTTTGAACCTATCACCTTTCACTTAAAGGAGCAACTATATACCATTGAACTACAAGATCCTTGATTTTTATACACTGTTGTTTCATTTAACAATATACACTTGTTTCGTTACAACACCACTAAAATTTTATTATTATTATTATTATTATTATTATTATTATTATTATTATTATTATTATTTAATTACGTTTTCATTTAACAGCATACACTCAATATGTGAGACATGCTATTCATATTACTTTCACTTATACACACTGTAGTTTGTTGGAAATTTTAGCTAAAATGGAAAACTTGAGTCGCTATTTCGTGTTACAAATATATGTGGGTCTACTTCCTATTTGGATCGGGTCAAAGTGGATTCGGGTTCTTCGTAGTGGTGCAATCTTTGAATAAGCTTTATCAGAATTGTTTTCAATCGTTGGATTAGATCACAATAATCTCAACCGTTAATTGGTATGCATATCTTTTACATACATTTTCCAATAAAACATAATAATGTGTTATGAATTTTTCCTTTGTATTTGTCAATTCTAATGTGTCAGAAATATGAGTTACAATATGTGTAATGATTTTTTCCTTTGTTATTTGTGTCAATTCTAATGGTAAATTAATGGAATTTTTAACGGAGAACTAATGGCGAAAATCAAATGAAATTCAGTGATGTAATATGAAAAAATTGAAAGAACAATATTAAATGTGGTAATGTCACAATAGTTGATGACTAAAAGTAGAATTTGTTTAAAGTCAGAGATGTAATATGACAAAATTAAAATAATATGACTAATGCATTGCCACACTAGTCAGAGGACTAATGTGGCAATGCCACACTAATAAGAGGACTAAAAGTAAAATTTGCTCAAAGTAAGGGATTTAATATGATAAAACTGAAAGAATAAAACTAAATCCGACAATACAACAATAGTCGAGGACTAAAAATAAAATTTGATCCAATTGCAAACTATACTCAACTTTTCTTTAAAAAAAAATGATATATATTGTACGAAAGATTTTTAATGATAAACTAGTATTTCACCCGTGCGATGCACGGACATAAAATTCTAAATATTGAATTTATGTTAGGAAATTGAAAGTAATTATTTTTGTTATTATAGTTGCAATATAAACAATTTTTTGAAATTGGAAGCGTTTCTAAATTTTAAAAAACTGTTACATTAGTGGCATTGTCAAAGTTAGGCATAGTAATTACTGTTGTTATTATAGTTGCAGTGTAAACAAAATTTTCAAACTGGAAGTGTTGAAAAATGTTAAAAAAAAAAAAAAAAAACTTGTACATATATATAGAAAACAATAATAATATTATGATGTGACATTTAAAATCCTCCAAAAAATTACAAATTATTGAAAATTTCTTTGTACACAACATTATCTGTAGTGTTCAAACCCACAATAGACTCTCCACATATTAAGATTTTTAGGCCATCTGGAATACTAACTCGAGATGCTGCTACATACAATTGGCCATGGTTAATTAAACACGGGTTTCTTTAATAGTAGTCCAAAATGAGATAAAGTTTGACCTTGACTCTTGTTGATTGTCATAGCATATGATAACATTATTGGAAATTGCTTCCTCTGAAATTTAAACGGTAGTCTTGGGTCTGAAGGAGTTAATGACAATCGTGGTATCAGGACTCGGGTGCCTACATTGTTTCCACACCGAATTTGAGCTTCAATTACATGGTTTCCTAAATGTGTAATAGAAGTTGATCCATTAGTGGCATTGTCAAAGTCAGGCATTAACAAACGATTCAATTGTATTGTGTCTTGATTCAATGTTTGCTTAACCACGCATGAACCTGATGAGAACTGATTGTATTATATTTTCTGAACTTGATTACAATGAGATCAGATGATGTGAATATATAGAATAGAGAGTCACAGTGTGACAAGGATAAGAAGTTCTAAACAGACTCATATACATAGAGTCCTAATACTCCCCCTCAAGCACAGTGTATACTAGTAACCTGTAGCTTGTCCCTTAAGGAAGAAAATCTAGGTCCAGGCAGAGCTTTGGTGAAGATATCAGCAAGTTGATCCTTTGTGGAGATGAAGTTGACTTGGATATCGCCCGAAGCTACTCGATCACGAACAAAATGATAATCAATCTCCGCATGCTTGGTGCGCGCATGAAAGATTGGATTGGCACTCATATATGTAGCTCCTAGATTATCACACCATAATTTTGGAATGGAAATACCCGGAATCTGTATCTCACGCAATAATGACATAATCCATAGAACCTCAGCACAAACATCTGCAAGAGCTTTGTATTCAGCCTCAGTGGATGACTTGGCAACAGTTCTCTGTTTCTTGCAAACCCATGATATAAGATTACTCCCCAAGAAAACAGCAAAACCACTCGTGGATTTTCGATCGTCAGGACAACCAGCCCAATCAGAATCAGAGAAAGCATGAATGTCTCTAGATGAGCACCGTCGTATGCGTAAACCATGATCAACTTTTCCCTTAACATACCTGAGTACCCGTTTGAGCTGCTCCCAGTGTGATATGGTGGGGGCATGCATATGCTGGCATAACTGATTAACTGCAAAGGATAGGTCAGGTCGTGTGACAGTGAGATATTGCAGTGCTCCAGCTAGACTCTTGTACTGTGTGGGATCATCATATAGATCTGAATTGAAGGGGACAGTTTTCGAGACAGAGATAGGTGTAGAAAGGGGTTTGCATTCAGACATTCCAGCCCGTTTTAAAATATCATTCATATACCGTTGTTGAGATAAAATAATCCCATTGTCACTCTTAACTGTTTCAATACCCAGAAAAAAATTTGGTTCACCAAGATCTCTGATTTTGAATGTAGCAGACAGTTTGGACAAGAGCTGAGACATAATACCTTGATCATTTCCCATTACAAGAATGTCATCCACGTACACCAATAGATAAACCAAAGCAGAGTCTTTAGAGTAATAGAACAGAGAGACATCTGTCTTGGATGCTTGAAAGCCAACCGATAGTAAGAACGTATGTAGTCGATTAAACCAAGCTCTGGGAGCTTGTTTTAACCCATACAGAGATCTTTTTAACAAACAAACATGATTCGGGAAGTTAGCATCAATATAACCAGGGGGTTGCTTCATATAAACTGTTTCAGCCAGATTACCATTCAGAAAAGCATTATGAACATCTAGCTGTTTGATAGACCACCCAGATGATAAAGCTAGAGATAGAAGGAGTCTTACAGTCGTAGGCTTTACCACTGGACTAAAAGTGTCGAAGAAGTCCTGACCTGGAACCTGATTAAAACCTTTCGCAACCAGCCTGGCTTTATGCCTTTCAATAGCACCATCAGCCTTTCTCTTCGTACGAAACACCCATTTACAGCCAATAATATTCATACCTGCAGTGGGTGGAACTAGAGACCATGTGTGGTTATGCAGGAGAGCATTGAATCTTGGTCCATGGCTTCACGCCACTCAGGATATTTGACAGCTTGAGAGTAACATGTGGGTTCCGTGGGATGCACTTGAGCTGCTAGAGCAAAAAGAGGAGCATCTGCATTGCTGCGAGTGGCCATAGAGTGAGTACGGACATTGGGCCTGATGGACCGCCCACGTGGACGGCCTCGCCGGCGAGCAACAGGCTCCACAGGATCACCCGACGAGGCAGCCTGTCCAGGAACCACGGCTGGTTCGAATGAAGCAGGTAGCGGCGGTTCTGGCAGCTTATCATTGGACACGGCAGGAATAGGTGTGCTGTGACTGAGAACAGATTCCGCCCAAGGTCCAGAAAACGGAGTAGATAGATCCTGCAAAGAAGTTTTAGTAGCAAAGGGGAAAACTTCTTCATCAAATCTGACATGCCTGCATGTGTAAATCTTATTAGTATGTAAGTCCATGCATCTGTACCCCCTAAAGGACTCAGGATAACCTAGGAAGACACATGAGAAGACCTGTATGACATCTTATGACGATTATATGGTCGAAGATGAGGGTAGCATAAACACCCAAAGACACGAAGAAAAAGATAGGAAGGAGGGGATTTATGTAACAGGAGATGAGGACTGGAGTTATTTAATACAGAAGATGGCATTCTGTTAATTAAATAGACAGCAGTCTCAAAGGCAAAATCCCAAAATTTCAAAGGAACAGAGGCATGAGCTAGAAGAGCCAGACCAGTTTCAACAATGTGACGATGTTTTCGTTCAACACGACCATTCTGTTCATGTGTATAGGCACAGGATTGTCTATGTTGAATTCCTAATTGAACAAACAAAGAATGCAACTTTTTGTACTCAGCACCTAAATCAGACTGAATGGCCTTTATTTTGCAATTAAAGGACCGTTCAACAAGAGTACGAAATTTATCAAAGATGACATAAAGATCAGACTTTAATTTCATAGGAAAGAACCATGTATAATGGGAATAGTCATCCACAAAGATCACAAAATAACGGAAGCCAGAAGTAGATAAAGTGGGCGCAGGACCCCAAATGTCTGTGTAAATAAGATCTAGGACTTGAGAACTAGAGGAAGCAACACGGGGGAGGGGAAAACGGGCAGATTTGCCTAATTGACACGCATTGCATAAAGAATTATGACAACGAATATTATCACGAGACCCACTAACCAAACAAGAACGAAGTATATGGCTAAGAACATGGTTATGAGGATGACCTAGACGATTGTGCCAAGTGGAAGCCGA